GTTAGAATAGTTGAGAATGCATGGGAAAAAAAACCTGAAATGCAACATGTTTAACAGAAGTGAAAATTTACCTTCACCAATTTCAGTATTTTCATAGCAATTAATTCTGGACAATTGATAATTCCACCAAGAATTAAATTGGTAAATCCTGCAGAATAAGCTCTGCACCAGATCAGTATCCTAACAGAGCAAACAGCATTACTGCAATACAAGCAGTGGAAGCAGATGAAAGCTCCCAGTGAGCCAGAGTTAGCTCATGAGGCGCTGTGCAGACTGAGACAGGCCTCGTTGTCTTCTCTGCTGATCAAAAACAATGACTGTACATTTTGAACCCAATACCTTTTGAACTTGACTGACCTATCATCATCCAAATCAAAACTTCTATCTCAGCTACTCGAGAGATCTAAGTCACTGAAATAGCTTAATCAATTGGTCTTCACCCTCTGTGATGAAGATGTGTGAACAATCCAAGTCCCACGATTCTTAACTTTCTCCAAACCAAATGAATTCATGACTTGCAACAGATAAGGATGGATGCTCAGATTTCACAAACATGCTGTTAAGACAATAGTGGCTCTGTTGAATTTATACAGGCCTGCTTGCTGCAACCTGACTGATCACAATTCAGAAACTCTTTTCCTCCCCAATTTACCACCTACCTTCAAAAAACTTTTGAGGCATTAATATAAAACAAGAGGCCAAACACACCAAAAAATTCCCAGGCATGAATGAAGTTGCTATACACACAAGGTATATCTGTATTTTGAATGATACACTCATACTAATTGCATCTTCCTAAAGTTAAAAGAAGCACCTGCTCATTGGCAGGAGATAAGCTGTGGTGAAAAGAATAAAGCAGACTCCCGATCTGACAAGCATTCACTGCTCACTGTCACCTCCACATCTGTATCCTACAACTGCCTCCAAGCCCAGGAGCCACAGCATACTGACACTTCATGCTTAACCAACTTCTCTGACAGTGTCTCAACACTGTATTTTTAACTCTTAAAGCCAGAGAATTCACTGCATTAAAAGCCTTACAGGACCAGGATAGTAGGCTACAGTTCTCTTGCTTTGTTCCCACACAGTTAAGTTGGAACAGTTATGACAAGTTCCTGTTCCTAGAAATCACTGGTTGCAATCCTTTCCAGCCAGTATTCTCAAGTAAAAGGTGGTAAAAAGGGTCAAAAACCACTGTATTTGTGATAATATTGAAATCCCATGCACTACTGCCAAATATACACTGTGGCTTAGAGCTACCCCACTGACAAATTATCTAGCCCAGCACACAAGGCATTTTAAGATTTTACTTTGGACATGAAAGCCCACTGTACTTCAGCACTGCCAGGTAAATAAGAATATCAGCTTATTTCAGAAGTCCTGAGAATCTGGAGCTAAGCACATGGCTTTAGTTTAAAAAAAGAAAAAATTAATCACAACACCTACTGTAAATGCAGCAACTCAGAAGAAATTAATAAAGCTCTAGAACAGGAAATTTTGAAACTAAAAGGCAGGGCACAGTTCCCTAGTGTATAGCTGGCAAACAATTAGGATACTGGTGCATGGAACAGTGAAAAGGGCCCTGTTTAGAAACACACAGCACAAGGATAGAAGTTCTTCTGAAAACACTACAATCTGATTGGACAAGTGGACCAGGTCCTAACAGTTCTAATTCCGGCACAAAAGCATAAAGATGATTTGCATCTACTGTGCACAGTTCTTAAACCTCACCCTTATAAGTAGGGATGCTGCCTTTACCATGTGAACATGAACAGTGAAGATCCTAAGCTGGCTCAATGATACTTTGCTTTATTGGGACTTCAGCTTGAAAATGGCTTTCAAAAAAAAATACAGACATGCCCAGACACACATTTCAGTTCTATAAATTTAGAAATGCCACAGTGGCACAATACTAAAAGTGTCTGTCTTCTATTTGCAGTATGGAAAATACATTTTTGAAAAATTTTATTAGTTGCATTCTCTGCTTTAGTCTGCTTCCATTCTGGTAGAAAATCATCACCTAGCACTCAATTTTAAGTTCATGGACAGTAACAGTAATTCAAAAGCCACAGATTAGTTCCAGTGGCTTCAAATTGAATTTAAAAATGATGCAACATGGGCCACAAAACACATTTGGTACCAGAACTAGCCTTTAGAAAGGATACCTACTTAAAAAGCCTGGGATAATGTTGCAGCATATCACAAATAGTGCACAATTCCAAAAATGCACCAAAAGTCACTGAGTCTTTTATTTTCAGGCTTATTCTATTAGGAGTGAAGGACTTATACTTGTGTACCAAAAGATCCAACAGCTTCAGAAGGTTGTCCTAAAAACTATCCCTGTTATACAGAGAATTTTATCATGGTGGTAATGGGTGGTATGGTAGAAATACACCTCTGAAAAAAGTTTCCCTTAAAACAGAGTTCACAGTGTTAGAAAGCTACTTACACTGGACAGAGAAGCAACAGCCTTTTTTCTCTTCAGCATAAACATTTTAGCCTGTTGTGTCTCTCTAGTTTTCGAAATGAACTGTATCTACAAAATCACATTCAACTCTGGTGCCCTTCACTCTAATATAGGAACAAATTAAAGCACTCAAACAGGCACACACAGCCCCATGTCACTGCCTGCTCTAGCAACAGCTCTGAGGAGCCTAGAAATAACTATAAAGGGTTTATGTAAAATTTTGGTGGAGTTCTGGCCTATGAATCACATAACCTCAAAATAATTTATTATTACTCAACACCTCTGTGAGTTTCCTCAAGACTAAAATTTTCCTAGACTTATCCCATTCCTACCCCTGTGCAACTATAGCAGTACAGTTAGCAGGACACAAAAGTAGTAGCCCATGCATTCTTAATGTCACTATTTTTGACTAGTGGCACTATACATACAAATAAATTTGAACTATCAATCTCCCCACCGTAATGCTTCAGTGATTCACTAATCATAGAATTATAATGGTTCTCACCTCACTGCAGAGCCAGGCGTTTTAAAAACACCACGTCACTGTTCCTACGAGCCACCTTACCATCTCTTGTTAAATTAACCTCAGTTAATGAAAGAACAAAATGGATGTCAGTACAGGACAGAATATTAAATATTAATATCACAGTTTTAAGAGGCCTGATTCTTAATTATCAACTTTTCAAATTTTTGAACACACATTGTTTAATTTGTATTCTGTGAACTTATTTAGGTTGCATTGCAAAACTCTGCAATACAACCAAATTTCAGAACCTAAAAATGCATAAAATCAAGATCTAGTGTAACTCAACCAATGCTCACAACCATTTTAAAATCACATCTGATTCAAAATTGCCAAGGGACACATTCTAGGCTCAGTGGTGAATTTAAGAAAGAAATAGCTCCTTTTACTTCAAACCAAGTTTGTTTTACACCAATACAGACAAAACATTTTTAGCTGTAATCTAGAAGCTGTTGATGCTGAATAGTACAGATGCCTCTAAGATCAAGTCGTAAAAGTGAGCTACTTTTAGAAAAGAATCCAGTTGAATAAGCCTTTTTACTTCCAACTTCAGATGTCATCTGCCTTAGCTGTGCAAACCATACAGAATTACAGAATGGGTCAGGTTGGAACAGTCCACAGTGGGTCATCTGGTCCAACCTCTCTGCTCAAGCAGGGTCGTCCTAGAGCACATTGCACAGAATTGCGTCCAGACAGTTCTGGAATATCTCCTGTGAGGGAGACTCCCTGACCTCTCTGGGCAATCTGTTCTAGTGCCTGGTCACCCCCTCATAGTAAAGAAGCTCTTTCTCATATTCAGGTGGAACTTTCTGTCCATCAGTTTCTGCCCATTGCCTCTTATCCTATTGCTCAGCACCACTGAGCAGAGTCAGGCTCCATCCTCCTGACACCCTCCCTTCAGGTACTTATAGACACTGATGAGGTCTCCTCTCAGTCACCTCTTCGAGGTCAAACAGGTTCAACTCCCTCAGCCCCTTCCTCACAAGAGATGCTCCAGGCCCTTACTCATGGTTGTCACCTGACATGCAGCATGTTATACCTCAGTGTTCGTGCTGATCGCTGCTTTTCCTTACTTAGATCATTGTAATTTCTTAGAGAGGACTTCTAAAGTGACATGCAAAGCTGCCTAAGATACTAATGCTTCAAAACCTTGAATTCCCATCTTCCATTTTTAAAGTTACATATTTCTCAATTGACAGGTCAGTGACAACCTCCATGCAGGAAGATTCTTCACTCTTAAAGCTGTTCCAGCAAAATGCTTGCAACCGAGTTGAACAACTACAAGAGGCAAGTGGTAGAAATTTTCTTTAGTCTGTTCAGTATGATTCAAAGGAATTGCATCTGATGTGCCTTTTTTTTCTTGTATTTGATATTTAAGTACCTGAAGTTTCTTCTTTCAATGAATACAGGAGTTTGCCCTTTCTTACAATAATGTGTTTCCTGGTTAGAGGTTTGTGGCCTTTCAGTACCTGCTTTAACAAAAGACTGCTCTGTTAGAGGGCTTCCTCCCCTACTTTTCCTTTTTTTTTTCTCCAGTGCTTTTTGTACTAGAAAGCTTGATATGAAGGATGCCCCTGTATCAACCTAAACCAGGTCAAGAAACCAAGTTATTCAATGTGAAGAAACAGGGTTTTATTCATGCCTAAAAGTTGCATATTGCTTTCAGGAAACAAAAGAGGACCTTTGATCATCATTCATTAAGAACTGCAAGTAAAATTAATCATACATCTAAAGGTTTAGCACTTATCTGCCTAGGACCCCTAAAGAAGAAAAAGAAAATAATATGGAATATTTTGCCTATTGCATCTCTAGTGAAAATGAAGCTGTTGACTAGTCTAGACAGTTGTGATGCCTAACTTTTAAGACGCTAAAGAAGAGATTAATTTTATCTCAATTGACCAAACAACAGCACTTTGTAACTGCCTGGTGCGCAGCAAAAAGAATGACCTTCACTCTAACCAGTGAGTTCCAGTTCCCACCAGTTAGGGAAATTAAGGATTTTTAAACCAGTTAGACACTGCCTGGCCAGGTTACTCATTATGTACCTTGTTCCCTTAGGCTCTTTTTCAAGCTCTGGAGAACAGAGAAGAAAACTGTTATGCCCACTATGTGGAACATTTCAGTACAGCACCACCTTTTTTTTTTTTTTCATTTAAAGTCAAAATGCAAAATGCCTTTTTCCTCCCCCGTTCTCATCTTACGGCCAGCTCAGACGGCAGACGTTGGTTTAGAGAGAAGAGATTGGACTTCTGGTGAAATAAAGGACAAGTGCAAAAGTTCCCTTGGTCAAAGTAAGCGTGGAGAAAAATCCAGTATAGAGCACAAGTCTGCCAGGAGAACTTAAAAGGTAAGTTTATACAATGGGGGGGGAGAAAGAGAAAGGGAGTTTTCTGCTCATACTCAACTGATGAGTACATTTGAAACTGAGCACTGTCTTACTAACTTTTTTGCAATGGGTGTTTGGATTTTTATGTTAGTCGTAGATACAGATGAAGGAGAGAAATCTGTATAATAAACCTATTAAAGACACTTATACACCCATTAACTGTCTTTTCACTAGTCCTGGGACTAGTCAAGAACCTAGAAAATTTATGCCTTGGGACATCCAAGAATTAAAGATTGACTAGTCAGTACCTCTAAATGCTTATAAACATCTCTGTGCAGCAAAAAGCAAGTTTAAAGGAAACACAGTGTAAAAGTAAAAAGAGATCTATACTACATCTGTGAGTGGTAACTGCAACACAAACAAGGAAAAAAACAAACTAGCTTTTGAGACAACAGCTTGTATTTCAGCAGTCTCACCAGAGGCTGAGGCAAAGCAGCTGAAGTTACTGCAGTTAGTTATGCCTTCACTGCATTGCTTTCCAAACAGACTAAATTAAGAAATCATACTTAAGATGTCTGTTCTATAAATATCTCTGTTTCCATTTAAATGCACATGTAGCCCATTTGAAATATCTCCTGTGACAAATTGTTTAATTGAAATATGCATGGAGCAGGTAGAAAAAAAAATACCAGTCTCCAGAGAGGAACAAAGTTAGACAGGGAAATCTTCCCAAATTTTACCAAGATCTTACAGTACTTTTTTTTGCAAGCAACTACATAACAGAATTATGTATCTTGATTACATTTTGTGTTGGAAATGTCTGTATTGCTTTGATATGGGACAGAATCGTTAAAAAAGAAAAAGAGGGGATTCATTCCCAAATCTGGTAGCGTATCACACAGACAGGTGTGCCTGCACAAGAGGGCAGAGGAGCAAAAATAAATCACAGGAGCAGGCAAGACTACCTTAAAAATAAAGCAGCTTCTTGTCAATTTATTGCAGGTTCATATTATTTTTTTCTGAGGCCAAATAGGCAGCAGTAAGTGCCTGCTGGATGCATTCAGTCCCAGCTAAAGAGACATACCGCTTAAACCTCAGAGATTTCCCCACCCCCCAGTAAGGTAAAAATCACAAGAGTTGCAATTTCTTTAAGCACAAACTACTAATTTACTTGGAACCATTCCCAACGAACATCAGAGGATTGCCTCATTGAAGAAAATAGAGGGGTTTGAGACAAAACTACAACATTATGATTTAATGAAAAAAAAAAAAAAAGAGGTGTCTCTCCTTTATGTTTGAGAGACAAAGACATGAGATCTCTTTCCTTTCTAAAGAAACTGTTAGTGAAAGGGTCTGGATTGAGTATGCAAGAGGATGCAAGTATTCTGTGTCAAACTGCTGGCTTCCTTACCAGAACTGTAAAATAAGGTTCAGGAAAACACCTTGAGCCTTACAAATTCTGGACGGTTGTTTTTTTTTAAGCCAGGTACTTACCCACATTATTCTATTGAAAAGAAAAATTCTTCCGGATTAAGAGAGAAAGAATGCCAATTTAATTGCACTTCTGTTTCTTGGACCAGAGAAAATTCAGGAACTTTATCCTAGCACTACTTTAAAGGAAAACAGAAACTTCACAGTGAGACAATGTAGGCAGTACAGACAAGCATCTTGCAAACAGCAGACTCACGCAGCAGTGCTATCGTCCAAGATGTGAAGCAACAATAAGTGCCTGGGCCAAAAAATGTCTCATCTCTGGAAGGAACTTCTGTCTTTAGATCAGAATTCTAGATCTTTGCTTATCAAACCGTATTATTTAAACAAAAATCTGCTTCCAACTCTGAGGGAAGACCCTGAACCAAAGAGGTAAAGCACAACTCAGTACTCTGAGAAATCCTAGCAAACACCCCAACCCAATGCTGCAGTATCTGGGCATCAGCCAGAGGAATCCTTATCACAAAAGGTGTAAGGTTAAAATGCAATGCAGCTAAAGGCACCCCCTAAAAAAAGAGACCAACACAAAGCCAAAATGTGAGATAAGAATATAAACTGGTACTAGCAAGTCCAGTTCTGAGAGGACATCCTGGGCATTGAGACACCTTTTACAGGATCCTGTCCTAAGCAATAGCAAGGATTTAAGCTAATAGAGCAACTCTGCTTTTTACTAAGCATAACAGTTACTACAAGGAGGGTGAGAGAAATCAATTAATTTAAATATATATCGTCTGCTGCACATTTTAATCTGATTGCCTTTGGGGTTTCAGTGGTTTTTAAGCTCCCATATGGCATGATCTTTCGTGACTTTCAACAGTAGACCATTCTTATTGTTCTTCCCTCTGATCTCTGTGTATGCATCCAGATAAAATAATCCTTACAACTTAAGGCACAGCAGGACTATAGCTGCCACCTCAAAACATCCCCAAACATGCCTAGGAAAGTAGCATATGAAGGGGTTGAAAAGGAGATGCTAAACATCTTCCAGAAACCAAATTCACCTTCTAACATACATTAGAATGAAATGTGTTGATAAGCAGTGCTGGATTTCCCTACGTAGGTGTTTTCTGGCTCTACTTTGTTATTGTTAGTTCCCACACTGTCCTTTCAAGTACTAAATTTCTCAACTGGTTCACCCTTCACCCGCAACTGTAGACATGGTCTAAACTTCTGAAGTCTGCTTTGAAATGAAAGAAAATCTTATATTCTTTAACAGGGGGCAAAGGACAAGCACAGAAAACTATATGGTTCTTTTTCACCTTGGTTCACAGAGCGGTAAAAAGAACACCAAGAGTATTTTATTTCACATTCATGACACAGGTCTGAATAATTTCCACATTATAGAACACTGAATTCTCCATTATCAGTTAAGGCAGGTTTGTGTTTGAATTCGAGATAATACTGTCTTTTCCTTCATTGAAAGCATTCCTTGAAAGTTATTCAAGTTTTGTTTGTGGTTGATTTTGTTTTGTTTTAAACAAACTGCTTTGCAACTACAATGGAATAAACAAACCCAAATATATCAAAGCACGGGGCCTTTCATCCTCTGCCTAGAAGCACATAAATGTACATTTCATTTTCTCTACCTTCCTGTCCTTACTCCCTAAGTAAATCTTAGAAGCTCTCAAGCAGCAAATGAAACAGCAGGAAAAAAGTCAACAACTAAATTCAATCTGTGAACCATCAGCAGCAGAGGACAACAGAAGGTGGTGTTGGACAGGCCAAAAAACTACCAGTGTTTCTCATCCACTTAGAATTCCAACAGTCAACCAAAAACAATGGGGAGAAAGGAGCATCAAGCAAAATAAACAATTGGTAAGTTGAACCCTGGTAAGGCTCTACACAACTTTTTCTGCTACAAGCCTCTACAAAGCTTTCCAATTGCTAAGTACTTCAAAGACCAGGGAAAAGACTTGGGAATTTCCAAGCTGAGATAATCTCAACAGCTGATTCTCACCAACAGCCTAGTTCCTAGCACTTTTTAAGGAACGGGCAGGACAGTTACATCAGGCATCAATTCTGAGAAAAAGTGCCCATCCAAATTATACTGCTTTGCCTCCGGCCAATGTACATCTATAAGCAAAGTAAAAGGTACCACTAAGACTGTTTTGGTAAGATACTCCAGTGTTCTTTCACTGATCCAAACCACCTTCAGATCAGATTATGCTGTAAGCTGAGTAAAAGCTAGACTTTAGCCTAGTTCTTCATCTCTATTTAAAAAATTACAGATAAATCCACCAACATTAAAAAAAAACCCAAGCAAAAACACACCAACAAAAAATCCTAACAAAAACGAATCCCTCTGTGTGTGCATATGTGTATATAAAAACTTACTGTAGCATCTGTTCAAAAAAACCAAAATTACTATTTATGCCTTATTTCTTCCTCCTTCTGTGCTCCTCCAATATTTCCCTTCAGACAAGGGACAGTCTTCTATTTCACCTGCAGAATTCATTAATTCCGATGTGAAGACCCTTCCTTCCACAGCTGTAAGTCAGTAATTATATTTGCCTTTTATTCCTGATGCCTCACACTATAAGAAAGAACTTTATTTTTCCAAAGCCAAGCAAGTTCTTTTTTAAATCTGCAACTTCTCCAAGTTAATACACACAAAAAAGACTTAAGAGGAATTCATTTGTGCATCAGAGAAAGAGGTAAGTCTGGGTTTTTTTCCTTCCTTCACACACGCACAGGTGTTCTGAGAAATCCAGTGCAAGTTTTTCCTTCCCCAAGCAGCCACCTCACTACTTGAATGCTCAGATGAGAAGGTTCAACATATTTGTTTTACTGCACTGGAGTAGTCCTCACAATGCTGCTGTGGAGACCACAAAGTAAATCTAGCCACCACCATACTGCACATTTCTAGCACTATAGTTCTGCTTCCTATGTTCAAGGTCTGTAGGTTCCCCTTAGCTTAGTCAGAGGGGCCAACTCAAATTCCTTGCTTGCCTTCTCAGCCTTATTTGGTTTCACCCACAATGCCTCCAGCACCACCACTACACTTACCAGCACTTACCTTCTGCTATTTATCTAGTTTTTCCACTGCATTGTTATAAGAAGAACCCCCAACACACTGAGTTGCTGAGGGCCACTCAGAATTCAAATTATAAAAATCACTCTGGGTAACAATTTATGATCTGCCCTGGCAGGCAGCTAAGCCAAACTGCTCTGAATCTGTGATCCAGCTTTATTACAGAGAATAGTTACCAGCTAATCTTCAAGACTGATATAGTTCCACCATCTCCCCAATGGCTTAGAAAATAATCTGTTATTATTCTAATGTGTTTTGTTGTTTGGTTTGGGTTGCTGGTTTTTTCTATTTTTTTTTTAAACCCTATGTAATACCTTCTACTATAGTGAAAGAAGAATATGAACAGATGCAAAATTTTATTTGCATTCACATATTTTACACAGCCTTCTGACAGATGTTTGGTGAGTTCAACCATGCTGTAACTTCCCACCCATCCCAAAAAAACCTCTATTCAGCTTTTTTTTTTCCCCCATACACACTCACACAGTGCTGGTGCTACCCAGCTGTACTCCTTTGCTGCTGACAGTAGTAGCTTTAGACTCAGTAGTGAGGAGGGACTTACACTGGTCACTCGGCGGTAGATCTGCGCAGCATTTTGGCACTCGGAATAAGGATACTCAGACGTGGCCATCTCTAGCATACACATCCCAAAAGCATATACATCAACGGATTCATCATATTTCTCCTCATACATCTCGGGGGCCATGAACTCTGGGGTACCTTAAATTAAAAGAACGATTCAGACTCTAAATGTCTCAAAGCGAGCAGAGGCTGCTGGCGTTACTCACCGCAGGAGGGAGCGGATGGGCAGACCTGTGAGACAAGAGAAAGTGGAGGCAAAAAGAAGAGGGAGGAAACCCTTAGTGACTCTGTTGCATCAACACACTCTGTGAGTCTTCCATTGCAAGGCCTTTGTGGAATAAGAATGGCGTGAAAGGACTGATGCAAGTCCTGGCTTAGGTATGTGAGTTGATACAAGTATCAAAACAGACTGGATTAGCCTGAAATCAAATGGGATGGGTAGGGGATAAGAAGAGGGAAAACTGTAGACTAGCCATAGGCTGCAAACCAAATACTAAGGAGAGTTAAGACACTTACCTTTTCTCCTTGTAAGAAAGGAGGCACATTAAACCTTGTTTCGAAAATTACCCGACTGCCCTCTGCTGCAAAAGAAGTAGTACTGGTAAGAGCCCACAGCTAGTCTCTGACCTGGTGCTCTCCATCTACTTTTTGAAGTAGAATGGTTCAGGTAAGGCCTTGCAATGAAAAACTCCGTAGTTACAAATACAAATCTCCATGAAAAGAGGATAAAAGGTAATTTTCTGCAAAGGCCACTCACCAGAGCCCTTTTCTTCATATACTTACCTTCCCACCTGCAGTATATTTATAGGTCTACTGCAGATACAGGCATTAGTGAGGGACATCCTACAGTCAAAAATACTCAGAAATACAGAGAGATTGAGTTACAGGCATAGAGCGTGAGATTCAACAAGTCCCATTTAAATAGTGTGCAGAAAATTATTGCCCAGTGAAGCATCACAGCAACCCCTCTGTAAACAAAGAGGTTGCATTGTTTGATCAGATTTACTTTAAGCCAGAGATGTAAGTTCGCTTTTTGTAAATTTAAGCACAGAATTATTTCCTGCAGACACCAGATTCAAGACAACTTACAGGTCATTCTATAGCCACGTTGCTTGTTTTCATCACACTAAACCAAAAAAAGAGAATGTACTTGCAGCCATTTATCCAAAGGCTAACCATTACTAGATAACTAGATGGTAGTTTTGCAATGATAAATTTGAGAATATGACAAGTATGCTTCAGAAATTATTATTTTTTTAAACTATACTTCGCTTTCCTGTTAATATTTTGACCTGGTTAAGAAGCAGGAAATATTTCAGCGACAGCTTGCAGGACAATTTACAGGTATAGACCATTGATCCCATCTAGGAATCTGGCATAGGACTGTTGAGTAATGCTGCGTTTTAGCAAGCTCTAAATATTGAAAGTGAGAACAACTTCATTCCCTGCAGTCTCTTCACCCAACTATAAAAACAAAGCTGATAAAACCAATTCTTTTAAGAATTCACAAGAAAGACCCTTGTTTCTGCTTACTCACAATCCGTAAGAGGTTTAATATGAACCCCTGGTGACAATAAAAAAAAAAATTTGGCTCTAAAAACTAATGCTACACTGAATATCAAAGTGTTGTTTGGTCACCAAAATGCACTTGTACACTTCTTGAAGCATCATCATATCAAAGCTGAGACTTATAAGTAGTCAAGAGTGGTTTTATCAACAATGTTGCACTAAACTGTTGGGCAGGACAAGGACTCTGTATTCCAAAATACTTAATGTTAATATACAAATATCAAAAGCACAACCAAAATTTCAACATGTAATCGCATCAGGGACACAGAATGACCTCAGCAACCAAGAAACAAAGCCTACACATTTTTTGGCTTTGACCCTGTACCTTTGCAACCATATTTTTATGGAAAGCTCTTAAAAGGCTCAGCAGCCTCCAATACAGGAGAGGCTTACCTATCACACTTTTGGCAAAAGAAGCTCGTTTCAGGGTTGCCAGACCGAGGTCTCCAATCTTGACTGATCCAGTGGGGCCAGTAATGAAGATGTTGTCACATTTTAAGTCTCTATGAATAATGGGAGGAGTGCGTGTATGTAGAAATTGTAAGCCTTTCAGTATCTGACGGCACCAGCTTCGTAGTACTTTAATTTTCATCACTTTAAATCTTTTCAAATACCTAATGAAAAAAGTAACAATAGGTTACCAACTTAGTAGATTCTGCTAACAGGCAGTAGATAAAACTATGCCATTTGATGTTTGGAAGCAAAGTAACAGTAATTAAAGACATGCACAAATTTAAACTTCACCTTCCATTTTAAAATCTACCTGGGCGTTTCAAGACTTCAGAGGAGCTAAAGATGATTCCTCCTTCTAAAACCCACCCCCTTTTCTTGTATACAGGGAACTAATGATTAAAGATAAATGTGAAAAGCTTAACATATAGCTAATAACTCATCTGCATACAAAATCATCCTATGGTAATTAGATAGTTGGCTTGCTAAGTTTCAAGGCATTGCTTCCATAACAGAGAATTCAAGGTTAATGACTTACAGCAATACTTTATCTATTTAATTGCCTAAACAGTTACAACCTTTATCTTGATTTATTATAACTGGGTGAGGGGGTGGGTCACTAGATGCAAAACACTAATACCAACAACTAAGTACAGAGTTGGGGCAAGCTGCAAGAGCTCTGAAGTCATTACTCCTTCCCTCTCAGCAGCAGTCCAAGCACTCTGGTCAAGGTTTCCATATTACACTTTAAATCTGCTTCAAATTTACTTGTGGAGTTGTCAAGCAAATGGGAAATTCTTGGAGATTGCTTCCCTGGTGCAGGACAGGGTTTGATCACCTGAATCTGACTGGTACTGCTCATTACTTCAAAACTACAGCCAGCCACGGACAGGGCAGAGAAATCTTTAAAAAGGCTCTGCCAAATAATCGAGGTGGAAGAGTTAATACATAAAGTCAGTACTCCCTCACAGTTAGAACGTGACCCAACCTTAACAGTTCTATCTTGCCACGCTTTGAAATCCCATTTCAGAAGAGTCAAATTTCATACCAAAAATATTTTCCAATGCTTGTAACCTAAGACTGTGATCTTATTCTATGACTTAACTTCAACAGATTAGAGATGCCACAAGGTGAATAACCTTATGACAGCATTCAAGTGCTTTCCAGCAGTGTTTTCTCACAACCTCTCTTTGGGTAACACAATTTGAAGTGAAGAGCTGTTTTCTTCCTTTTGAAGAAGTACAGGCTGAGATACATTCAGGAGAAAGGAAGTAGCACGCTCTGTAGAGCAAGGACTTTATTCTTATTCAGCCAATGTTACTCAGTCAAAGTCTCAGATAAAGACCAGTTTCACAGTATTGCAAGACTGGTAGTAAATTCTGTGACCAGCATGGAGTCTAGCAACTACAATCTTCAACTAACAGCAAGCAGTGTTCAATTATTCTGTGGTAGTGTTCAGTCTACTCTGTACAACCACTTAATCAGGAGATAAAGTCTGGATGAAATCACTTGAATCAACGCCAACATAAAAATGCAATGTATTAATCCCTTTTACTTTCATTTCTCCAGTTCAAAAGAAGATCTGAAAAAATCAAGTTGGTAGCAATAATCCTGCTGTGAAAATAGATCTGTAAAAGCAAGTGGGACACAGTTCCAGAGGAAATCAAGTCTTAGAATATAAAGACAGGCAGGGAAAAAGCCAAGCCAAGGAAGGAGACAAACTGAAGGAGGTTCTGAATCACATCAGCTACCACTTGAATTCTTGCTATTGACACAACCCTCATTCATCTCTCTTGAGCCTGATCCAAAGATCACATGGTAGGGGTACTTCAGTTCAGCATCTGGAATCCCTAATTACATTCTTGGTTTCAAATATGCTTGCCTACTGCCAGCTCCTCACTGTTAAAGGACCTGGGTCCAACCATCATCCAGCATCCCACAGTGCTGCCGTCAGTTTTCCACAACACTGTCCTGAACTAAGTCACATGTTACTTAAGGCAGAAACCAATTTAAAACAGAAGCACATATAAAAACATAAAGATACACAGACAACCCTACTAGCCAGTATGTTTTCAATTTTCCTAATATCGTTGGATAACTCAGGCTTGAAGAGACCTCAGGAGGTTTCTAGTCTAAGTTTCTGCAATTACCTACAGCATCTGAGCTCAAGGAGCTATAGAAATCCCTACTGAATTAGCAGAGGTAGTTATGAAGGTACGTGCCCTACCAGAGAGCTGACACATTCATTTAAAGCGGATCAGGAACACACACTAGACATACTTTTATCCAGACCTTAGACAAAACCAATGGCTGAGACCCAAGTCAGATTAAACACTGTTGTCTTCATTAATAGTATAATTAAAATTTCAAATAGGAAACTCCATTTTTCCAAATATTTTAATTCCATGATAGCATACAATATCAGAAAGCAGTCTTATTCTTTACAAAAATTCAGTTGTAAAACTTTTCCATTCATATACAGAATTTCGGGGATTTTCCCTCGTGCAAAATTAGAAAACTGCCCAGACAGCATCTGAAAACAAGGAGTCCACAAAATTTTAACATTATTTCTGGGTATTTATGTATCAATGTATACAAATACAAAAAACTATGAGAGAAAATTTACTTTAAGATGTCTCTACACTTCACTTTTTTACATCAACTGACAACAATGTCTATGTCCCAAGTCTCAAAATGAGGAAAGTAACACTTTTATAAAATGAAGGTAATGTAAAAATACTGAAAAAAAAAAGGATATGGAAGTAATACTCAGTCAGCCAAATATCATAAGCTAATACAAGTGTGCAGTGTAAATTTAGGAATGTGACACAAACACGTGAAATACTTAATGATATTAAATTTGGCACACCAGAAATTTCCCATATTTATAGTTTACCTGTTGTCAAGTCTCAAGTGAAGTGGGCAAGCATAAACTAAATCACAATTATAACACAAGCTATGCAAGAGTGGGGAAAAAAACCCACCCAGAACTTTACAGCTTAGAAGATCTTTGATTAAACAACCTGTTACTTCTTTCTGGATAAAATAAAAATACTTTCATACTTCAAAGCATAAAATAATCCTATAGACAGCAAATCTGAGGTGTTTCGTCCTACCAACACCCTACTTTATAATTGCCTATTACTACTTTATCATCTCACTTATGCCACCACATAACAAGCCAATCTACATATTAAAATCTGTGAGAGGGATAAAGGAGTAAGAAAGGCCGGAAAAAAACTAAATCTAACACTAATGTTTAGCATAAAATTAAGTATCTTTATTTAAAGGCATCTTTACAGAGCTGCTTACTTTTTTACTGCTCTGAAAACAGCACATGAAGCAACAGATCTATTATTTTATCTGAAATACCCTAAACAACCTTCAAAATATCTTCACTGAACATAAGGATAAAGAATGTTGCGGTATCCTTAGTCCTCCAGTACTATTTTAAGAGACAAACACTTCCCTGTAATTGCAGCCCAGACTCCCAAAGAGCCATTTTTTTTTCCCTCTTTAAGAATGTCCATTTGTGGCTATCAATAAGCATCATAAAAACACAAGACATTCACGGGCTATTTTAACCAAATAGACGGCAAATTGTTTCCAGCTCCCACAGCCTGCTTACACATTTAGGATTTGAATGCCTCTCCAAGACTTAAATGGGCACTGAAAGAAGACAGCGACCCACAACCCGTTTATCCCAAAAGCTGGCAGTTCTATTTCCAGCAAGGAACAGTGACTGGGTGCCGGCAGCGTGAGTTCGCTGTGAGCCCCCGCGGGCCCCGCGCACCACTAGAGGCCCTCGCAGCAGCTCCATTTCCTGCACTCTGCTTTTAACACTGCCTTAAAGACACACCCAGGGTCACTCAGCTGTCTCACAGGTTGGAGCTGCAGGCACCTGCATACTTTGATTTTTGTTAGGTACGGCTTCACCAAGCTTCAGCTAAACAAATAGGTAAATAGGCGGTGAATTTTTTTCCTTTTTACGTATTATTTGCACTGCTCTAACATCCAAAGCCTCCCAAAAGAGATGCATTAATTCGTACTTTGAACTTTACAAACCACCTCATGCTAAATGGAAGGCAGCTGGAGAGGAAAAAGAAAAATTCTGAGAAGTGAAAAGAGAGTATTGTCTTCCTAGGGTCTTAAAATCCAGAAGTTTTCTGTATACGCTTACTAGGACATCACAGAGAAGAACCTGAGAAGCCTCTTCAACAAGAATGTTCCTACAGGACATTAGCCCTCAGCAAAAGGGCTCTGTTCTTACGTATTCTGAAATATCATCTATTTCTAGGGCTCTGATTCTGTGCTAATGAAGCTTAAACACTTTGACATGTCTTAATTTACTTACGTTTTCAGTGTTCCAGACGTCATTAGTTCCGTCACAAGAACAATACACTTTTTTCCTTTGACTGTAGACTCCCAGGAATCATAGAACCTGACAATATTGGGATGCTGAAGCCCTTTCAGCATCCCAGCTTCCTCTTTAAATCGTTGTCGCTCTGACTTGGACAGTTTCCGATCCTAATGAAAAAGAAAAGGTGCATCAGAAAGCTTTGCTTGATTTTCTTATTCAGAGAAGCAGTAACTTGAAAAACAGTTGAGTACACACAAGAATCAGCTTTCTTAAATGCCATTTAGCTCACAATTATCTTCAAAATATGCTATCTTGAGCACATTCTATTACAGTCTTTTTACAATGTATTGTTCCTTACAATCCTATTGCTCTTGGAGTTAAGAACTGCAAGTCTGTAGATTAACTCCTCCTCCTGTCTCCTCTTCTCTTACTCTTAATAAATTTAGTCACTGCCTTGAGCTGGAAAGGGCATGTACCGTTTTGAACATTTCAGTGTTTGAGGATAAAATCAGATCATTTAAAGCATGTTGTACACAACAATAATCTTCCATCATTCCTATGTATCCAGCCCACTGGTAACACATGGCATTAGCCCTCCATACAGGGGGTAGAGCATCAAACCTCTCTAACATACAGTATGTACGTGTAACTGTAAATAATCAAGTAAATGAGCTGGTGTTTCTTTGATTAAAAGCAGAAGCTCATGATTGAGCAAGTTTCCTGTAATCTCACATCAACAAAAACATAACTCCCACTAGAGACAGAAAGCAACCTTTTGGCCAGAAGACAGACCATGAAAAAGCATTCCTGGACAATACTATTGCATTACCTACCAACAACTGGCTATCAGAGGTTGCCAGGACTCCAAGCTATTACCCCAATAAGCAGCACATATCACAGGGAAGACAGTCTCCTTGTGCCATTCAGTATTCTCAGCTCACCAGTGCATTACCAGTCAAATCCACTGACTGACGTAAATTGGATCCATATGCAGTTTGCATTAAAAAAAACCCATTTCAAGATATCCTTAAAGCCAAGAATTTTAGAGTCATTGTTTCTAACAGTTGTTTAGCAACAACCAGTGACCTATTTGTCAAATCTGAGTAATAAATTTAAGTCACTTGATTTCATATTTTCTTTTCAATTAAAAGGAGGCTGCAAAACCATGCAGGGTTTACTTACACTCCTACTGTCCTCTAGGCAGTAACTCTTCTTCCTTTGCTTACAGGTAATGTGTTTTCTCGATACAATTCAGCCATGCTAATATCTAAACCATTCTGTATTCACTTAGATCATTAACTTTTCCTAAGAGGTTCACAGAGTATCTTGGGGCACGGACAAACTTCATTTCCAGATGAAACTCCAATTTTCACAAGTGCACAAGCCCCCCAGGGGAAAGTTTGAAAATAGATTTGAAATTATCTCAGAAATCAGGTTCTTATCGGTGTCTATGAACGTCAATCACTCACATGCCTTTACAATTCCTAGGAAGATGCTAAATCCTTAAGTCTCACAAATTTAATCTACAGATATCAAAAGCATTCAATCCTGCAACTATTTCACACTGCAGAAATCAGCACTACCACCCCTTCTCACTCTTTCATAAAGATATTTGCAAAACTTTCGATATAACATGTTTGCAGAAACACTCCACGAATGTTTGAGTATTCCTGTCTGCTTAGGTGTTGGAGGGGTTAATATGTAATTAGTACTTCCATTTGAGCTGCCTTACCCATCTAATAGCTTTCCTTTAATTAACATAACAGGGCTGCACAAGTTCTGTTCAAAACCACTCAATTCTAACTGCTTCCAACTGCTGTGCAACAGAAAAACAGTGAGTTGCAATATGTACAGCAGACCATACACACGTGCTTCTAAGAGACAATGCTTCAAACAACACAAAAATCACAAAAACATCATCTTATGGTAGAATAAAGCAGTATTTTCAGTCTCTGCACTTGACCCATACAATCCACATAGAACTACTTTATAGCTATAAATCCAGCTGTTATATATGGTCATTACACAAAAAAAGCTGCAATAATTACTTTTATGTCACTTTTAAATAGTCACTCTGAGCACCTACATTCATTTTTGTCTGAAACCTAGATTTTAGATACACATTTGGATTAAATTTCCTTTATTCTGTGTGCACTAACAAGTTATCTACAACAAATACTACTAACTAGTTTTAGATTACACTCGACTTAACGTCAAGTGTATTTCATTTCATTCTCATCTTAATCTGTGTAACCTCATCTCCCCTAAGGGCTTGACTCAGTCTCCCTACCCCTGTACTACTGGCCCTAAATAGAAACTAAGTGCTAATCACCCTTATCAATGAACAGCCTCTTAACGGGCACCCACATTTTGACTCATTTCTCTCCCTGGTCACATCTATGGCAGCATCGTGTTCCTGCAAACACAGCTGTGACATTTAACGCGGACACTCAACACTTCAGTGCCGGCATTAAAAAACCACCAAGGCAGTGACAACGCACCAAGTAATACAGCCCTCCTTTCAAAGTCACAGTGCCCCGGTGATCTGGGACAAGTCCGGACAAAACACAGGCCAAAATCTTTCACCCAGGAACACAGCCATGTTTCTGCAACCAAGGAAACCCCGCACCCTTCAGTACACACTGCAGCAGCAGAAGGGAACGTTAAACAGAGCTGGAAGAAAAAGACAGAAAGGCCACTTGTTTCCTAACACCAGCAATGCATATTACCTTTTACTACCCTCATTTCCTTGGACACACAGCCCATACCCCTCATCCAGAACAGGTTTTTATATTCTTTCCCTAAAGGAATACTAATGCTAGGTTACAGAAAAGCGTGAATATACTTTAAAAGAACCCATGACCCCAGCATTCAGGAAAACACTAGATCTCATGTGCAGATTCATTTTGTTGGTATAATCATACACACAATGACTGGGTATAGTTTTACAAACTACATTCTAATGCAACTTGCAAACAGCTGGCCTGCAGGCTAATATACAGTTTAAAAATGACAAGTACACTTTCAAAAATCTGAGTATTCCATTCATCAGAACATTAAAAAATATATTAGACAGCAAGATCTCCCAGGCTGTGTAGAGGTGGATTAGAGCACAGCACATCCCTAATACTACCTTTTGGCATCCTTAGGGCTGTTAGTATGGGCAAATGTGACAACTTTATGCTCTTTCTTGTACAAAAATGCAATTTAAGCAGCTGCAGCTACTAAAATATTGAGATAAGCAAGAAAACAGAGCACCCCATGTAATCTGGGAGACTGAGATACAATACTACCAGCCATGTTAGGCATGAATACTTTGGGAAAAGGAGGGGAAGGAGAATATCTTGGTATTGCATGGAATGCACAGCATAGCTGTAGCAGAGACAAGCAAGCCATCATCCTTTTCATAAGAATTCAGAAGAGTGTTTTTCAGGAATTTGGGACTGGAACAGCTTCCACAATTCTCAGTTTTAAGTGCCTGCTCCAAGAGACTCAACAGCCCAGGTGTGTCTTCCCAACAAGGCAGCTACTTGGGGCAATACTCAGATTCCACTGTGGCCTCTGAGCAGCAGTCTGCAGAAAGGCAAGACCCTCTATCTTCACCTCTAAAGATGTAATACAGTTTGTGACCTATCATTCAAAATATCCACTCCTTTTGATTAAATTATTATAAGGGTGAATCAGGTAAGCAGATTTACCCCCTGCAGCCTTTTTCCTGTAACTCACAGTCTAAATAGGTACACGGATGGATCATTTCAACATGTTTTCATCTGAAAGCAAAAACAGAGGTTTCACGAAGTAACATCCCAGCTTCAAAAAGTACAAGATTAGTTAAAAAAGTTAATGTTTTCTTCTCTTTTTACTGTACTCTTAAATCAAACATCCAGACACTAAACAAAGTAGAAGGACACAGAAGGTCCTTTTCCATAAGCCTGGGAAATCTGAACAATTTTATTAAAAAAAACCCAGGACTTTAAGAACAGTTAATAATATATGGCTTGATATCCTATCCTTTAAAAGACCAAATTGTTTTGGAATTCCCACTAATAGAATTTAAAAATGAACACACACTCTCCTCCCCCAGTCTTTTTTTACCATAATGAAGCAACCTTAGGCAGACAAGACAAAGTCCTAAGTCTAGAGAGTAGCAAATGACATTCTTGTAGCTCAGTTAGCACATGCCAAGCAGATATAGCCCAAATATTTTTAAAAATATACAAAGCTGTCAAACTGCAGGAGAGCTTGCTTCCTAAAATGGATTTAAACTATCTTATAAAATGGACAGCATTGTTTTTCCTAACTGATAGCTTCCCTGGAGGACTTAAGTGTCACATCCCAATCACTGGGCTGCCCTTCGAACAAACTGAAACAGATGCATCAAGCCCACTCCGTTCATTTCATTCATTCCTTTCCACCTACATTAAATTGTTTTGACAAGCCAGGACAAACAGCAAGGCTTCCCAGCACGTGACCCGCAGTTCGGCAGTGCCAGGGGCCTGAAAGGAGACAGGCAGCAAATGAAACAATTGTTCAGCTCAGAACGATTCAATAAGCTTTTCTTGGCTGTTTTCATTTATCCATGTACTTCCCATCTGATTTCTTTTGGCCAGGAAAGAGCTATCAGAGGTGTTTACATTTTTCAATGTAAAACAGGGATCTTGGTTACTTATGATAAACCAGGTACAGGCTTACTCTTTCACTGATGTACTTCGTGTACAGGAGCATGAATTACATGCAGAATTGTTACTACCCTCTTTCTATCACTGTACCTACATGCCTTATATAAATGCAAAACAAACTAACCCAAAACCAAAACTATCCTCCACCTCTAAGATTAGCTATTGTACCGAGCCACAAAAAACAAAGCTCAGCAGCAAAAAATGCCTGTATTCCCATGGTGGCTTTTTTCAGCCAAGGCTTAGTATCTATTCAGCATCCTTAATGATATTTCTGGCATCTAAATTAATCTTAAGTTTCAGCTGGGTTACTCACATAGCTGTTGAGTCTAGTGAGTAGTTTCTCATATGTTTTCCTTTCTAACTTTCCCCAGTCCTTCAGAGTTCTGTCCTGTTAACATCCTGACAAGAAATCACATATCTGCAAAGCCCATCTCACTACCACAAGCGGTCACAGAGCCCAACTCAGACACCTGAAGCAGCAGAAGAGTCTGCTTGTGTTGTTTGAGCTTGCTCTTCATTCAAGCCAAGCTCAACCAAGGGTCCCACCTCTGCTGACCCTTTTTACTAACTGACCAAATGGCCTGAACTAAAGTCTAGGACAATTCATCTGGCATTAAATGGACACAGTTATGCAGAAGTGACACACTGCACTTTGCCCTCTAACACGTTACAGGATACCAAGCAAGGGGATAACAAGAGAAACACTGTGCACGGAAAGAACTACATCTGCTAACTCCTGCTATACATCCTCAAGGGTGATTTTCAGTTTCTTAACATCAAGTACAATTAACACAGCCAAAGAGTGTTTCACGCACAACAGAATAAACCAAACTTCCCATGATCTCCATCTTCTACAAATAAAGAGACTCACAGGTGACAGAGGTTAACTTGAAACCATTTTTTTCAAGAAGTTCAGTGGGTAAGGTGCTACACAACTTAGAGCTGCCCAGTAGAGGAAATAGATAAACACTGGACACTTGACATACCACAGACAGGTTTTACCAGCTTTCTGCATATCCTACCACTATATCC